CATAAAAAATGCATTTGTAAAGTCATATAAAAAAGTCATCCTACTGCTTATTTCTATACTGTGTTGCTGGTTGGGTCATGCAAGGTCACTGCCTTGGAGTCCGCGCGAAATAATTCGTGCGCGGCTGGGACAGCGCTAAATGCCTACTTTTGCAGGAATACATGGCCTTAATATATATTAGCCAGTACGATTAAGTATTATCCTCCGCCTTACACATACTACGTAGTAACTCTGCTTTATTATACCCTGCAGTGGGCTGCTGTAAGGAGCTGTTGAATAATAAGTTTTGCACATTTAAAGTAGGTTTTGAGTTTAATTCAAAAAGGGCCCCAATTTAATTTGTGCCCCGGGGCCCTTGGTTGCATAGCTACGCCACTGCCACGCACTCGCGGATAAAGATGCCAAAATACTGCGTATTCTTTACGTTTAGGTGTAAAAATGTCCTTGGAGCATTTTACGAGTTATCGAAGTAAGAAACACTGCTCTTAACAGAAGCACTGTGTATTTTCACAAAAATTTTAACCGAACATTGGGAGCCATTTTTGTAGCGGTGTTTTAAAGAACGAAAAAACACAAACGCCACAAAAGAATAGAACAAACGTTTTACTGTCCAAAATTGACACAGTTAAAGGAAAAAATTATAAATAGGTTTTATTATAATATAACTATCTAAGCTTAAAATAATTATGAGAAATTATGGTTGCTTGCAAGTAGGACTGAGCATTTTTTTTCTGAAACAGTTTAACGCAACATTTTTTTCTCAATGAAACGAAGAAACACTTTCTTGTTTGTTCACAAACAAGTTCTTAGAAATAAAACAAAACTGTGGAACGTACGTCTCTGGATGAAACGAATGAAATGAATAACCAGCACAGACCATTAAGTTGTTTGTGGCAGAAACTATTTTACGAAAAACTAGTTTTACTATTACTCGTCCTCGAACGAACGAGGGAACAACGGATCTATCTATTGCGCTTGCTCCTTTCACTGACAGCATATAAAGAGCAAGACGGAGTGAACTGATGTTCCATAGCGGAACTTCGCATTTCTTGTAACCTATATTTTTGGTCTATCATCATTACGCTGATATTTCTTTAACAAATAAAATTGATTTTTCTTTAAGCAATAAAAACTGTTTTTTCTTAGATGGACATTGTTCGTCCAGCCGAAGTTCATAATAAGTATCGTTGTATAAAGTATGGAGTGTAGAAGTGAGGAGCATAGACTGTGTTTTAAAAAGTGTCCATATAAAACCGTTAAATAAGGGTGGCGCCACTATAGCTACGGACTAAATTTTGAAGAACGTGCCGAAAATATTAGTGGGATAGACGACTTTTTCGAGGTTATATTTGCTAAAAAAATTATTTTAGATTACTACTAGCTACTGAGCAGTTTAGCAGCACACTTCAAACCGTTGACAACTGCTAAGTTAATTTCATCCCAGTTTCACTCCAGCGCTGTTGTGGAGAGTTTTTGAACTGTTATTTACTGCTTATAGATGGCCACTTTTTCAACTATTCTACTATGGGAGTTGGTACTCCCTATTTCTACACTCCATAGTACAAAGGCTGCCGCGTGGCTCTACCACTGTTGAAAAATGTTTGTACAGCATAGAGCACGATTGCAGCTACTTGTTGGTTACGATTTTGTCCTCCACATATCTCACAGAATAGTTATATTCCGAGACGTTAGGAGGTAGCAATTTAAGAAAATGGTACAATATTAAACCTATTTCGTTACTCCCTGTTTTTCCATGTTACTCATTCTAAGTAATTTTGTATTAAAGAACTGTTCCACAAGTAAAATAAATTTTAGTTTTTCTTCGATTGGCAGAATACCACAGAATTTGATAATTTGTTGTAGTTGTCCTTGCAACAGTGGGCTGTTTCTCCTTGTCCAATGTAAATAGTAAAATGGTTCAAATTTGTGTGTGTGAATTTTGTGTGTTTTTACATAGTGAATTTTTACCCGACGAGTTCAACAAATATTTTGTATTTAGTGATTTTTGCTTGTTGGAATTTCGTAAATGAATTCAACTATGGATATAATGACTTTTTCCTGGAAAACTTGTTGCTATTTTAATATACTTAGCGTAAAAAATAAATTTCCTATTTTTCCTTACGCTTTCTCTGCGCTTAGTATAGAGCTCTTATTAGTTTGTGGTAGAGAGTAATAATAATAGCCAAAGAGTATATAGTCACTACCAAAGAGTATAAAACCACTAATCATGACGTGTTTTAGAAAATATATTGTATCTTGATCGATGTCATCAATATCTTTGCATTTTCGGAATAGTGTTTTTGTGTCATTTTAATGTCATTTTGATATTGTATTCTGTACCACACATTTATTTCATGAAAATTAAAATCGTCTAAAAAAACAAACATTGGTAGCGTTTTCCCTTCTGTTGGAATGCAAATTTCGGTAATTTTTTTTATCGATCTGTGATCGACAATTTTTTATCTGTAGTTTTTTTGTTGTATTTATTGTTTGAAGGCTTTGATTTATTTTATTTTACTAATCAAAAGACACAGTACATACACATACACTTTTATTTCTTAAATAAACACCTGTATCAATGCGTTCAAATTGATCACACACACACACACGTACGTACGTACAGACACGCGCACTAGCACGTGCACTCGCACGCGCACGCCCACATGCACACGCTCACATGCGCACGCGTACTCGAACACGCACACACGCACACACGCACACACACGCACATACGCACATACGCACACGCACACGCTCACACGCACACACGCACGTTCGCACGCGCGCACGGACCCACGCACACACACACACGCACACATGCATACCCTTCGGCAAATTGTACAGAAAACAGAGAAGTAGAAGTAAGAAGAAAATATCTTTGATTCCGTTCAAATTTGGGTGTGCTAAGTCCCTTTGCCAAGTTCATTAATTCGGTATATATTAAAGCGCTGAAAGTGTGAAACAGTTATCCGAAACCGAATGGACGGGGAGAGGTTGTATTCTCGAATGTGTTCACTGCTGCATTGGAGAACGTTTTAAAGCTACTGAACTGGAAAAGGATACGGTATTAACATCAACGGCGAGTATAAAATAGTAGTGTATTAACACACATTCAATTTGCCGACGATATTGTCTCATGGCAGAATCGCTGGAGGACCTCAACCCCATGTTCAATTGCCTCAAAGGATAGGTCTTAAATGAATATGGACAAAACCGAGAACAGCACCAAGGCTCACCTGGGCATCGTTCGGAAGATTACGACTCATCTCGTTACGTATACCTCAAAACTTGAAAACAAGTACGTACAACCAGTGCACGTAGCCAGTGATGACATATATGAATGGTCCTTCACTGCTGGTTATATGAGGACGCTCAAGATCACTCTGCGAAGTATGAACAGGGCTGTGATTGGAGTTTCTTTGTGTGATACCGGTGGCCGGTGGTTCTGGACCGTGTTTTGTAGCATTTCCTTGGGGAATTATTGAGTATTGGACTTGTGATGAGCTGTGGTGATGACGATAACGAACGATAGGTCCCCACTGAAAAAAAATTTCATCAATGCAAAGTATATCTCTTGACTCCGCTTTCCTTAGACATTTTTTTTTAAATATGCTTCTGACTGTACATAATACTATATAAACGCAATTGTCTTTTTTTTTAGAGAACTGGCGCACCTTATACTTTTATATTTAATTTGATCAGGCAATATGCCACAGCGTCTGAAGCTACATTTGAAACCATGGTAAAATTTAGAATTTTCTTTCACATTAATTTTATCGTTTTTATAATAATGAAGTGACAAACGGAATCACAGTCCACCTGGTATAAAAAGGCTACAGATGCGTTGTCATCTCTGAGGATCAAGGTAAAATACATCTCAGCCAGAGCCAGTAATTATACTGGCTCCCTATTCTACTCTTAAAACCATAGTACAGCGGTGCACGCACTACTATTTCTCGGCAGAAATAGGCGAGGATCTAGGTATCTCCAAAAACGATTAGAGACAATTAAAAAAGTATTTAATTATTTAATAATCGTTATCGTTATCAATTTTCCTTTCGGCTAAATAAGTATTATCTCTTAAGCGACTTACATGCGAGGAAAAAATAGAAGGAAGTTAAGAAAAAAATGAAGACACTGTTTCTAGTTATATTATTATTTTATACCATTTTATTGCTTTGTTTGTCTACTGGGTGTAGTAGTGCGACTGCTGATCATGATTCATACACTTGGGCACTATAATCCTGTCCTGCGCCGATGGCTAGTCTCCGTTGAGACAGGCTGCCGTGACCAAAGTTTGGTCTGGAGGACATTATTACCATTTTAGTAATCATAGTTGATTGATGTTGATTGCCTAATAAGCGCCATGAAAGGTAAAGTTATCGTTGGAATGGTTGGCTATTTATTTGATTTTTTTATAGATGAGTGGACAAATTAACACGCGTCTCACCTGATGGTAAGAGTCAACCGCCGTCTGTGAAAAAATTACACACCTGGGGAATTGCAGGTGCGTTGCCGGCTTTTCAAAAAGGAGTGAGCTCGTTGATTAAAGGTCCCAAGGTCCCAAGCAGCATGCAAGCTGTATACGAGCTGTATTGAAATTCCTATTTATACTAGAGCTGCATTTTCTGGCTGTACAAAGGCTGTATAAGCGCTTATACAGTTCTAATAAGTGAAAATTGGCGCAAATTATACAGCTTTATGTGATAGTAGCACTGTACAGTAGCTGTACAAGTATAAAAGAGGCTGTATAATAGCTGTATTACAACTTTTATTTGGTGTACAGGGAAACTATTACACTACAGATATTGCCTTATAAGTATTATCTATATAAACGTTCTAAATTGGTGTTTGAACGGAATCACAAATAAATTGATGACAAAAAGAACTTATTTATTATGTGAATAGCCTTTTCACATGATACCGTAAAGTGATCCGATCCAAGATCGTCCTTTGAAGAAGCAGAAAAAGATCTAGATAGATAGACACCGACATTGATGATGAAAGAAAAGGACAAAACACTACAGTTACAAGTAACACCAACTATGAAAGTAATGTTTAATCTTTTCCTACGAAACCCTTTTTGTTAGACGTCGATAGGATTGACGTTTGACTATAATAGGTTGTCTGATTTATTAAAGTTTTTCTATATTCTTCAGTATCATTATTATTTCGTTGATAATTTGTAATATTTAAATATTCCTTTTTAATCCTTCGTCTAACTGCACCAAATTTTTTCTTTTTTTTCCTCATAATGATATAAAATTTATTTTTTTAACTAGCACAATATATTAAACACGCGTAATTGCGTGCATGCAAAATGGCGATATTCTATCACTTTATGTTATTTATTTTTTTAGTTTTATATCACTCTCACAGACAGTAGTTATAAAACTATTGTATTTACAAGAGTGTACAATTACGTTATAAGCATAGTCTTTAGAAGGGATTTTGCATACACCATTATACATAAATAATATTTGAATGATACTATAATAACACTAAGAGCTGTAATAAGCATGCGACAGCGTCTAAAAACAGCTTCTATACAGCTTTAATGATAAAATCGGATTAAAGTGTTACAATGTACTTAATGTTGTACAGTAGTTTTCATATTCTGAATAAGAACACTAAGCTTCCTTAGATCACTTAATATAGACTTAATGCAGCTTGAACTGTATAATGACTCATAAACCACTCTTATAAGGATACAACCTCTGGATACAAACTCTTTTCAACACTCTTATACGCCTCGAACACAGAACTTTAAGTTCTTTGTGGGCTGGTATATTGATGTTAATAACGCTTGTCGAATCGGTTTGGAAAAATCGCCAATGGTAAACGATTCTACAAAGAAGTCGTGCGAGGAAGAAAACTCCTACTAAATCGCAAAGTAGTAGACCGCTTAGCATACATCTGGTGTGAATTGAAATTAATAATCTCTATAAATGTAGAAAGCGTTTAAGGATATACTCTGTAAGTGCTTGGCAATTAATGGAAAAGAGAACAAATGCACAAGCTCGCTGCAATGATTTCAAAAGGAAGGATAGGCCCATCTAAATATTTTACTCATAACTTTTTCATACAAGAAAAAATAGCGCATCTGTCATAATACAAACGTCATTGTAAACACGACGTAACTAGGGTCGGATTTCGTATAGTATACATAGTGTCGTAGTAATACTAAGCGATTTTTTTTAATAAAATTAGAATTAGCTACATTTCTGGTCAATCGATGCTTGATCGATGCATTTATGTTGCATCCTTGATACAACTGTAATTAGGGGCTACCACGATAAAAACTATATGCTCCAGAAGCAATCGGTTTGAAAACAGAATTTCAAAATATTTTATGGATCAGATTTTCAGATTCAATTAAGCAGATATGGTTTTTTTGTACTCTTTTCGTTTTACCCGTATTGAATATAAAATATATTAGGTACAAATATTCAAAATTTAACTTACACTAAGTTCTTTAGACAAAAATTTCTCAGAAATAAAAATAAAACCGTCAAAAAACGAAACGTATAGATAACCTAGACGCATATAATATATAAATAATATAAACACTCACGCCTGTCACCCAGAGGGGTAGGCAGAGACTACAGACTTCCATTTGGCACGATCCTGACACACCTCTCTCGCCTCCTTCACATCCATACACCTCCGCATACATGCTCGTCGGTTAAGGGTACTCCTAATTTGGCCCGTTTTCAATAAATCGCCAATTTGGTCGATAAATTTTCGCCTAGGACGTCCCTTTCCGACTCTGCCATTCACTTCTGCAACATAAATTTTCTTTGTCACTCTTTCCTCATTCATTCTTTCCACATGACCAAACCACCGAAGCATTCCTTTCTTAATCCTGGTCACAACATCATCTTGCAAACCACACTCTTCTCTTATTACACAATTTCTTACCCTGTCATTAAGATTCAGCCCTAACATACTCCTTAACGACCGCATTTCTACTGCGTTCATTCTACTCTCGTGCTTCTTCTGCCACACCCAACTTTCACTACCATATGTTAAAGTAGGGACCAACACAGCATTGTGAATTGCCATACGTGCCTTTTTCGACACATTTTGACTCTTCACAATAGAGTGCAGGGCCCCATTTACTCTATTTCCCGCATTCACTCGTCGTTCTATATCCTTATCATATCTCCCATCCCTGCTAAATACGCAGCCCAAATATACAAACTCGTCTACTTGCTCGATCAACTCCCCCTTCTATTCTTATTTCACAAATCGTTTTACTTTCTTCTCTTTCAAAAACCATAACCTTCGTCTTACTTGCGTTCACTTTCATACCCCTTTCTTTTAATGATCTGTTCATTAATGTAACCATCATTTGCAACTCGGCCGCCGACGACGCAAGTATAACTTGATCATCGGCGTACAAAAGGCATTTGACGGTTAACTCACCCATTCTTAATCCGCATTCTTCAACTTTCAAATTTTGCAAACAACTGTCCATAAATAGGTTGAACAGCCACGGGGAAGCTACACAGCCCTGTCTGACACCTTTATGGATGTCAAACCAGTCCGAGTAGACCCCGTTGATCCTAACACAAGCACTAGAGTCCCTATAAAGGGACTCCAATGCCCGTATCAAGCCAGCGCTCAACCCAAATGAGTTCAGTGTTTGCCATAGCACATCCCTATTCACTCTGTCATAGGCCTTTTCCAAGTCCATGAACGCACAAAAAACCTTTTGGTTTTTGGCCAAAAACTTCTCCGCGATCATGCGCATGGAAAAGACTTGATCTGTACATCCCATTCCCTTTCTAAATCCTGCTTGCACATCCCAAATTTTTCCATCAGTTTCTTTCATGACCCTTTCAATCAGTACCTTAGCATACAGTTTTCCCACAATGCTAAGAAGGCTGATGCCACGGTAGTTTTTACAGTCCTGCTGCGACCCTTTTCCCTTATATACTGGGACTATCACGGCTTTGCACCAGTCTACCGGTACCCGCTTCAGTTCCCAGCATAAATTAAACAAGGTGTGCAGCAGGCCCACCACTTCCTCTCCAGCCCTTAGCATTTCGAGTGAAACTCTATCATATCCGGCAGCCTTACCTGCTTTCATGCTTTTCATTGCTTTCATTATTTCACCTACACTAATCTCGCTACCTCTTTCCTCTTCTTTCGGAATTTCTACTTCACTTAGTACACACGTTGTCTCCTCACTCATAAACACGCTTTCAAAATATTCCTTCCATCTCTTTAAACTCAAAACTTCATCATTCAGAATATAGCCATTCTCGTCTCTTATAGCATTCATCATAGGCTGTTTTGAATGTCCCCTGGCAGTTCTTACAAGTTTCCAGAACATTTTAATATTTGCCTGGAAATTATCCGATATTCTTCTATCATTCTTATCCGTTCTTTCTTGCTTTTTTCTTTCAACTACTTCTTTTACTCTCTTATTAAGATGTCTAAAGACTGCCTTTTTTCTTTCAATATCATCATTCGTACCGCTAGAATTACCAGCCTTTGTTGCTAGTAAATCTAGCCATGCCTAGACGCGTGACGCCAAAATCCCGGCACATGTGAAAAAATAAACATGAAACGTCAAACAAAAAATAGTATAATTTTATTTTCCATGTACAATATTTTTGGGGGTCTGAATCCAACCCTGGCCTAATCTTGGTAACGAACTAAACTAACTATTAAATAAAACTTTAAGAATGCGTTTATATAATAATTTAATTGTAACAAAATTAATATAAGATTATTTACCGTCGATACCATGTTTTTTTAAATCTTTGTATCATAATTTTTGCATTCTTTTACCACGCAACTAGACATATTTGTGACAGGCAAATCTGTCCTGCGCGCGCACTACTGTCCACCGATTCGCGTTGGCCCTAAACCTTTGAGTATTAAACCAACCTTGGTAATGGATGAAATGAAAATTAAGCAATTGACAGAATAACATGCTAGTAGCCAAAGGCATTATGTATATAACCAAAATGTCTTTTAGAACTTGCATGGTACTCCGTCAATTGTTTTATTTTCATTTCATCTATCACTAATATACAATATAATTTCTTGTCAGGGTTACTCTCTAGTCTAAGTTTTAAAACAGTTAACGCTTTTTTTGTGTAGCCAAGTCGGCCATAAATTGTACTGTACCACTTTGTTCAAGTATGTGATGAAGACAGACCAATTTCAAAACTTTTGATATTTCGCACATATTGTTAAGCTTTCGGTGAATAGTAATGTAAAGTTAAAGCAAAACATCTTTCTGGGGAATACTTAGCCCTAGGTAGATGTCACATTTTATTTTTAAGCAGCTGCCTGCTTAAAGTTCACTTTGTTAAACTATTATAAGTATAGTGTAAAACTTTTTTGTTTTCCTAATTTATTAAATATTTTCCAGATAGTTCATTTAATAACTCTTGAAAATCAACAACTTTTTTTAAACAGCGGTTTTGTGATTGAAGCCTTATAATAAAAACAAAAACTTGGTTAACACCATCTGAGACGATAAACTGATAGGACTTTTCTTTTAAAACAATCTGATTTTTAAAATAAGTTAACTAAACCTATTTCGATTTATTAAATGTTTTAAATTTTATCCTGCATAATGTAAAATAAACCTGTAGCAAAATAATAAACTTATTTTCAATCATTTAATATCTCATAAATATGCTAAAATAGTAAACTTTCAAGCCTTGATGGAACAAAAATACTTGAATAGAATATTGATCTGTTACTATATACAAATAAAGAGCACAACTGCGTTTACACAAAAAAAAAATACTTCCAAACCTTAAAAGTTCCAACTTTCAAGACTTGTTGTAAGAAAAATACTTGCATAGAATATTGAACTGTAACTATATACAAATAAAGAGCACAATCGCATTTACAAAAGAATAATTCCAATCCTTTAAAGTAAATATACCTTGATAGAACATTGATCCGTAACTAAATACAAATAAGGAGCAGAATCGCGTAGAGTGTCGACAGAGCGAAAATATTCGAATACTTTGAAGTCTTGCAAGTACTTTGGGTCGGCACTTGGTCCGCGTACTTGCAAGTAAATACCTGGTATAAAGACCTGGTCGCGTAAATACGCACCTTCCCTACTTTTCAATCAATATATGACTGTATCACCTTTATCATCATGCAATTTGGTGTGAACATGATAATTTTTTTTTAATATCCGCATTAGGTATATCTCCAGTTTTAGCGAAACTACTTGTTATCCACCTTTTTAAATATTTATAAGATACATCAAAACTTTGAGTATGTAATTTTGAATACATTTCTTTTTTGCTTCATAGCAATATAAACTTCATAAATTGGATAAAGGTCCGCAAACCACCGTAACGTTAACTTCTGAAGATGCCCTCAAACTTTATGAAAGGATGGTAATATTGAGAGAAATGGAAACGGCAGCTGGTAAAATGTACAGAGAAAAACTAATTCGTGGCTTTTGTCACTTGTACTTAGGTAAGAAATAAGCTATTATTACATAAAATTTCATGTAACATTATTATCATTCTTCATTCTTCATCATTATTATCATTCGATTTTCTATGCATTCACTAATGATAATATTTAATATTAAAACAATTTCATATAAACTAAATCATCAAAATCAAACTAAGTCAAATGTACTTTTTGTACATCTGTTTATTCCTTCAAAACTTGTATTACGGCAATATTTAATCTCCTTTCAGGTCAAGAAGCAGTAGCTGTAGGTATACATTCAATGATGCGAAGCGTCGATACAGCTATCACCTCATACCGTTGTCACGGATGGACTCAGTTAATGGGCTGTGGAGTTTTAGGCATGCTGTCTGAACTCGCCGGTCGTAGATCCGGGTGTTCTCGTGGCAAAGGCGGCTCAATGCATTTATATAGTAAGAACTTTTATGGCGGAAATGGAATCGTAGGTGCTCAGGTGATGACGAAATAATTTTTTTACTATTTTCACAAAAAAAACTTACAATCATTTAAATGATAGACTCTTTAGATGCAAGACGGCGCAACTGTTGTTGTTTTACATCAACCTAGTACTACAACTATTAAATAGAGTATGGCTGGACATGAACCTCTCCCATTGCAGAGAACATTTGCCTTAATCTTCACCATTAACTGGCGAATTGACGGTCGCCATACTAGATGTGACGACACACTGTGTTTAATTACCTTTTGTTACCCTATCACCCATCTGGGTATTTTACGACTGATAACCTAAAATGGTTAGTTATATCGCCACTGTCTACCAGATGCTATAAGATTTTTCTGGAATGTTATAATTTTGTGGTGGATTATTTAACGCCACAACAACACGTTTTTTAGCTTTTAAACTTTAACAAACCTAATTTACTTGCTCGTTAAAAATTAAATCGTACCTTGTTTAGATACCATTGGGAGCTGGTCTTGCATTAGCACACAAGTACAAAGGCGATGGTGGTATATGTTTTGTTTTATACGGAGACGGCGCAGCCAACCAGGGTCAGCTTTATGAAGCTTTTAACATAGCTAAACTTTGGAAACTGCCTTGCGTGTTTGTTTGCGAAAATAATCTGTACGGCGAGTAAAACTAATATTTTGTGTAGAAAATAGATGGCTATAAGTTATTTACCTAAGTATTAAATGTCATCTTCTTAACAAGAAATTAGAATTAAAAAAGGGAAACCTAGAACTATAATGTAATGCTTATAAATCCAATTTCATTATCTTTTGAACAAAACTCTCACGGGGAAATGTTTAAGTACCCTATGTAGTCTTAGCAACGCCTCCTCGCCCTATTCTCTCTGAGATAAGGCGCCTTTTATACACGGTGTCCAACTCCAATTGTATAACGGATATTCTTAACCCCGAGTTAGTCACGTAGACGCCACGGGGAAAAGAAAAGAGGAACGCGTGAGCACTCGGAAGCACCAGACCAGCAGACCAAATTTCCACCGCTGAGCGTAGGTAGAGCGGTGCATCCACAGAAATCATAATAATAAGACAATAGAAATGAATTAATTAGCGCTCGATTACTTCCAAAACCGATGTCGCCACATCATACCGTATTATAAACATACGCAATGCACAATGATATCTAATGTTTCACATTACATTGCTTAGCGAGTTTGTCAACATCGCGTGTGTAGCGTACAACGGTAAAACAAAAGCAGCAATGGTAATTGTACAATACGAAAAGTAATAAATGAGTTTGCAAAGGTAAATGTCATAGATGTAAATTAATTAAAACAATGATAATTAGTAAATAATCAACTTACTGATGAAATGTTATGCCTTTATTAGTTTAATTACACATCCTTGATAAGTTTTTACAACTGATTATGCTGCAGTGCACCATTATAAATTTAAAATAACAAAAATTCACGTACGACGTTCCCTGTACAACTAAATCACAAAATGATGAATTATGTTCGTCAAACCATATAGGCGGCGACAAGGGCACGCGTGTATGTCACTTCTAATGTCTTATTATTACGATTTCTGTGGGTGTATCGTTATACGAATACTACTCTGCTTCCGCGGGTGTATGTAGCCGCGATTCCATCTTGGTTATGAAGAGGATACCCGCCGTAATCCAGCGAATCGCGTCCGAAGTTAGCTCGTTAAATCCACTCGGAACAGTCTCGTCGGGCAGGATACGGCTAGCGACTACTAAGTCCATACCAAATCAAGTCGAGAACCAGTTCAAGGTGATTACCCTAACCGCACAACAGTCAAAACATCCAACCCAGCTGTGTCAAATATCTATTGTCAGTAACCGTCATCCATTGCAGCGATTCAATTCCCGCCATTTAAAAAAATACTACTTTAATTACTATTACACTTCGCTTTTAGCACTAATGTAAGAATAATATATAAATTTAGATGAGATAAACATGATTATTATATTTTATTGTATAAACCATAATAGTGTACCCTTAAATTTAAAGAAAACTAGAAATTATTTTTTACGTGGTAGAGCCATGCTGCAGTTATATTAGTAGTATGGTAAAGAAAGGTTATTTGGTAAGATAGGCAATTTGGTGATGGGCATTTAAAAGTCTTTCACGACGATAGCTACATGCACGCAGTTCACGAAATGATGCAAGCAGTTTGCCGAAAGAGCGAAAGAGACGCAGTGACGCATCATTTGGCGTAACTGCGTGCTTATGTAACGTCGTGAAAGATTTTTAAAAGTCTATCACCAAATTGCCTATCTCACCAAATAACCTTTCTTTAGCCTATACTTAGTTGTAGCACGGAGGGAACGGGAAAGGACCACGCTCTTACAGAATACATGCGTAAAATAAGATAAATATATAAATAAAAAAGCTTAATGCTAGTGTGTCGTATGGTGAGTGTAGAGAACCGGAGACTGGAAACGAGGCATTCCATCTTAGTCCTCACGGGGGACAACTTATCTGCAAATTGATTCGTAATCAAGGATAGATGAAGTTGTTAAAGGGCCACAGCAACCACTTACCATCAGGTGGACTGTGTGCTCGTATGTCACCCTATCCTATAAAAAAGAAGTAAATTGTTTCTGCCGGGCAATAATTGCAAGCCATTGCGGTTGCGACATCTTAGAAATGACGCCATTTAGAAAGATACTGTTGAGGGGCTAATCCTAAGTCTAACCTCTCTAAATATATTTAGATTTAATCTAGAAACTTCCTCCCATCCATCCATTATAGCTTGCCACGCTTGGCTGGCAGGTTGCCAACCACAGTTTTATACGTAGGACACTCAATAAGTTTTGAGATATACAAAAAGTATTCTAGATACTATTAATATTTATTTTACATCTTTTCAAAATATTCTCCATCATGCTCTATACAAAGTTCCATTCGCCTAAACCAACTCTGAAAACACTTTTGCCAGTCTTGATCTGACAGGTCGGAAATCGCTTCTTCGTAGGCAGTCACGACTTCTTCGGCGCTTGAAAAAAACTTGCCTTTTATTTTTTCTTTGACTCTTGGGAACAAATAGAAATCACAAGGAGCTAGGTCAGGGCTGTAGGGTGGGTGACTTGCTTGCATGCTTTTGTTCTAAGGGAGGTATATGAAGAGGCGTTATCGTGATGTAGCATAATTCCCCGAAGCTCGGTTTTTGGTCTTCTCTCCCCCACAGCTTGAAAAGCTTTAGGTAATGCAACTGTAGTATACCGTTTAGAGTTGACTGACCTACAATTTTCCAGCATTGACGTCGACAAATGTCCACTCCGCAAAAAAAAAACTTGCCACCATTTTTTTGCCGACGTTGCGAGGCCTTTGCACTTTTGTCGGTAACTGTCCTTTCGAGTAGACCCATACCGATGATTGCCTTTTATTATCAGGATCATATTGTATCCATGTCTCGTCACCAGTAACGATTTCCGAAACACGCCTAGGTGCCCTGTTTTCAAAACGTAGACGCATTTTTTTTGGGGCCTCTCAATTCACGGTTAAGATCTATCGTTTAAAATGAAAAGCGCGGGAAGCGTTCCAAGAAAGTTAATAGAACTGTGTTTTTTTTATTATATTGAGCAACAGCCTTATGGAGTTCTATTTTTAAATAAATTTGCTTTTTAGAAACATATAACACAGGTGCATTCCATTTTTAAATTTCGAGCATCTGAAAACTTATTGGTGACCTACGTACTATATTGCATTTTTATTATAACGATGCTGCTGCCTCATTTATGTTTGGGATAACAGAGTTTTGGACATTCTTACACTATCTCTATACGGTTAGGTTGAGTTTGCGCCTTCTTTGACAAATATTAAAATTCAGTCAAATAAAAACAATTAACATCGGCCAATTATGATCCTAAACATAGGTATGGGTACAAAGGCCGAGCGATCGTCTGCTAGCACAGAGTACTATAAGCGTGGTGATTATATTCCCGGCATCTGGGTAGATGGCATGAATGTCCTTGCCAGCAGAGAAGCAACTCGCTTCAGTATCGACTATTGCACTAGTGGCCAAGGTTTGTAATGCTAACACACTATTTATTGATAATTCATATCATTACCCACATTTATGTAGTAAATATTTCAGGTATAATATATATATATATATATATATATATATATATATATATATATATATATATATATATATATATATATATATATATATACCTAACCATTAATTTTGTCATTTTAAAAATAATTGTAAATTACAGATATGAAACAGATAGGAAAACTATTTCGTTGTAACAGAAAAGTAACGGAGGGGAGTTATTTGGGCCAGTTTATAATCAGATACATTTTAAAGAAAATTAGAAGTAATGATAATAAATAAAATATTATTTTTCTCTATTCTATTAAAATGGCTTGATATAAAATGTAAATAAACCCTAAAAGATAACTTTTTTTTTAATAACTTATTGTTCATTACATTATATTTATAAACATAAATAAAAAATATACTATAAATGATGTAGTTCCTATAAATTGTTTACCCTAATTCTCTTGGAATAATGAAATAACAGTTTTAAATTAATATATTAGTAATAGTATATTAGTATAAGTTTTTTTATAGAAGAGGCATACGGCTCAACTGATGTTAAGTGACTACCGCCATCCATGATCAACCGCAACACCAGGGGAATTGCAGGTGCGTTGTCGGCCTTTAAAAAGGAGTAAGTTCTTTTCTTGAAGGTCCCTAGGTCGTATCGGTCCGTAAACGTTGACTGTCGTCTACATGTACCGAGGTACCATGCAGGTATCGGGCTTCGGGGTAGCCCCCATTGCCCGGGTGTTCCTCATGGCCCATTACAATGGGACAGTCCTCGTAGCCACTTAGGCTAGATGAAATTTGACGGATTTATTCCGTGATGGTTAGAAAATGTTTTTCCGTAGTTATACGACTAGGGAAAAAGGTGGTTGTCTGGTAAAGTCTAGGTTGGCCTTTTAGCGGCATTGTGGGTTGTTACTCAACTCTCTAAACACATATAGAGAGGAGTTCTCTTGGAAGAGGTCGCCCGTCCGGTGGCCGAGTGTGCAACGGCGCAAAGCCGTTGAGGTGTTCGTGTGGCCCGTTATCGGCACGGTCGAACATGCCGCGCGCTAGCCGGGCCACGAAGTCGGTGATGTTCTCGATCTTCAAGTCGGCCGCTATCACGTCATTCCGGACGTAGCGACCTGCTCCGACGATCGTCCTTAATGTCAGGTTCTGCTGGGCCTGTAGTCGCCGCCTTAGAGGATCGCTCAGAAGTGCGTACCAGGCCGGAGCAGCGTAGGTGATGATAGTCCGGATATACATCTTGTATATCCGGAGCTTAGTTCTTATAGGCAGCTTGGATGCCAGGACCGGCAAGAGTGTCGCCCGCGCACATCGGGCCCTGCGGACGACGAAGTCGACGTGCGCGGTCATGCGCAGCGTCCTGTCGATCCTGCACCCAAGGTAAGTTACGGCCTTCTGGTACGCAATCTTCTGGCCGTTGAGGGTCAGCGGAGGTGGAAATTTCCTGAGACGGCGAGTGAGCAGAGCGGTCGTCTTACCAACGTTGACGACCATCCTCCACTCTTCCAGCCATGGTGGCAACAGGTCCAGCAGACGCTGCATCTTGGCAGTGGCTATGTGGGCTCTTCTGGACGAGGTG